TATATATATATATACACACACACACACGCATATGATGTTAATGCTCTAGATCAAATTAAAATTTCATATAGACATTCTGATGATAAAGTCACTTAAGAGTATAACACATGCTTGAAACGTGGAAGACTATTTGGTTCTAAGGATAAAAATCCTAAGAAAATAAGAGGAGTATAAAATGATCTTTATCATTAGGAAAAGAGTTCCCACATGAACAAAAATATCAAAAGTTCCCTTTTAAGAGGAAATAAATGATAATAACAATAAAAAGACTGTAATCATTCATGGTCATACAAATTAATATGTCACCGATAATATAAATGGCATGTTTTCTTATTATGTTGCATGCGATTTTATACATGTCATTGATTTTCACAATAGACATGACTATGTTCAATGGAAGGTTATGCTATGCAAGCTAAATTAACTTCTCTTGATAAGAGAAAGGTTTTTGGGCCTATTATTCTCATGTGTGGAGTTCTAAAACCATTTGGGTATGGACGTATCTTCATACAAAAAAAATAAGAAATAGGACATTGTAAAATACAAAGTTAGGCTTGTGGCTCTTTCTCCGAAAGACCAGAAATTGATTATGAGGAAACATATTCCCTAATTATAGATGCAACCAATTTTTGAAAATTTAGAGTTGTGTTTTATGGATGTTGTTACATTTAACTTATATGAATCACTTGGAAGTGGTATCTATATGAAAATCCCTAAGGGATTTAAAATGCCTGAAGCACCGACTACAAAACCCAAAGAAATTTATTTGATCAAACTACAAAGATCTTTGTATGGGTTAAAGCAATTTGGACGCATGTGGTAGAATTGTTTAAGTGATTACTTAACAAGCAAAGGTTATAAAGATAATACAATTTGTCCATACATACTTATTAGGAAAACAATATATTGAAAAAATCAAAAATTATCTTAGGTACATACTAAGCATATACCTAATGAAATATGTGTGCATCAATTAAATTATAGAGAAAAGGTCTTGAAACATTTTAATATGGACAATGTCGAGCCTTTAAGCACTTCAATGATTGTAAGATCACTAAATGTTAACAATGATCCATTTTACCCATGCGAAGAAAACAAAGAGGTTCTTGTTCTAAAAGTATCATACTTTAATGTGATTGGGGTTCTTATGTATCGTACCAACTATTCTAGAATTGACATTTCTTTATTATAAACTAGCTAGCAACGTTCGGTTCATCGAAAGAAACACATTGGAACGGGATAAGCACATATTTTGATTCCCTTAAAGAATTGCTAATTTATGTGTATTCTGTCCTAGCGGTTCAAAACAAAGTTTAATTGGTTATGCAAATGAGGGCTATTTGTCTTATCATCATAACGCTAAATCTCAACTTGGATACGCATTCATAAATAGAGATACTGCAATATCCCGTTTTTCTCAAAAGCAAACACTTGTTACATCTTCAAATCATGTTGAAGTTATTGCGTTAAATCAAACTAATAGAGAGTGTGCATGGTTAAGATCGATGACAAAATTCATCTCGGCCTTATATGGACTAGATAAACATAAGGTCCAACTTTAATCTATAAAGATAACATAACACATGTCGTTCAAATTAAAGAATGATATATCAAAAGTGATAGGACGAAACATATACGATCAAAGTTGAAATAAAATATATTCAATCAAGCAAAATGTAAAGAGACATTCAAATACTTATAAAGGACCATTAAGTTGAAATAAAATATATTCAATCAAGCAAAATGTAAAGAGACTTTTTTTTATGAATGTAAGAGACTTTTTTTATGAAGGCACTTCCCACTGTAATCTTTAGAAAACATGTCAATGCTATCAGTGAGGTGTTGTGAATGTGACATTGCACAACACATATTGGTTAATGGTTACCAAAGTGATGGAAAGAGAGTTATACATTGCACTTTTTTTTTCCATTCGCTGAAATATTTACCATTTATTTAAGTTTTTACCCACCGAGTTTTCTTTAACAATGTTTTAAAAGTGGTAGTCCATCAAAGTTGAACTCAAAATCAAAAATTGTCATATGAAGGAAATGTTATAAATAATCGGTCTAGTTGATGATGAACATAACAAACAAAGGGATAGATCAATTTTCAACACTTGCCAAATCTTTTAACTATTTACTTACTATTTGATGATACATGAATAGGGTAAGTTTTAGTACAAAATATCCCTTGATGTAAGAGAAGAACGTACAATATTCTCTTGAATATACTCTCATTAAGTGATCAAAGTCTCTCCATGTCCCCTTTGTTCTTTCCATAAATATTTAGTTTAATTTTGTTAAATCTTGTTTTAATTAGATCGAATTTACAATATTTTTATATTTTTGTGTGTGAACACTTGCTTTTGTTACAACCCAACACTAAATATATCCTAAATTTATTCTTTCAAATAACATCACTACATGTAACGGGCCTCGTTCGAGGTAATAAAACCAAAAAAAAAAATAGAAAAGTTAGAATCTTTAACAAACGCTTACCTTTAAGCTTCCGCTCGAGAGATCAAACAACAAAACATATAACCATTTATAACTATGCCCAAAAAACAAAACCCTAAAAACCTTATAAATACCACATAATCTATAACTCTTATGCACATTTTAATCTTTTTGGTATAATTTGGTATTATATAACTTATAGCTTTTAGTGAGACCCAAAACCCTCACGATGAACAAGACAACATGCACACACCCGGGCGATAAGCCCACGCGGGTGGCAACCGCGCGTACCTTTCCATTCCGGGCTGCTCATCAAACGGCCTTTCCATTACCTTTAACAACCGTCTCACCTCTTCAAAATCACCTTGTTCCGCCATATCAATCGCACTCTGGCATAGGTAATTCCGGAGAACATACTTCGGATTCACCGAATCCATTGAAGCTTTCCTTTCCTTATCCGAAACACCACTAGCACATAACTACACATAAAAGGAAAACCACCATCTCAAAAACAAAAACAAATTTCAAATTTAGGGTTTAATGTTTGGGAGGGTATCCAACTTCTAATGTTTATTCAAAATTACCATTATGACCTGCTATACCAGGTTTACCTTTTACCCCAAGGGTAACCATTAAAATCTACTATAGCAGGTCATAATGGTAATAGTTTGAACAAACATTGGAGTTGGTTGCTAAATTATAACATAAACCCTAAATTATAATATTAAGTTTTACCTCGGTTCTATAATGTTTCATCCAGCTAGTCCAAGCATCTCTTCGCTCTTTTCCAATATCTAGCAAAGCAGACTTGAGCGGAATCAACAATTCCGCCTCCGGAACATCGGAATCGGAATCAACACGGATGTTGGAAAGTAATCTAAAGAAGTTTGTGTAATCAACTTTGTCAACAGCCATGTTGTTGAGTAGTTCATTAACAAGCTCTTTATTATACTTTAACAATCCAATCTTTTTGGTCATTATCGCCTGATACTCATCCATAAATTTATCACCATATCTGCAACGAATCAAGAACACGAGATTCTTCACTTCAATACAAATAAAATAAAAAGAAAAGGGAAAAGGAAGAATATATGTTTTTTTTTGACCTTTCCATGGCGTATTCGAATTCTTTCTTGTTAATGAGTTTAGCAGATGAAAGAGATAATGCAAACTGGGCTATATTCCATGAACCAGTATCGGGTTGATTTGCAAAACAATATCTTCTTCCTGGAAGATCAGTTGTGTTTGGAGTAAATCTAGGGTCAAAAGCGTCAAGAAACCCAAAAGGGCCATAATCAATAGTCAACCCTAATATGCTCATGTTGTCTGTATTTAAAACACCATGTGTGAACCCCACACCCTGCCATTTTGCTATTAATGAAGCAGTGCGTTCAGCAACTTCCACCAACCAAGCTGATATATATAAAAAAAAAAAGTTGAAGCCAAATAAGTAAATTATTTTATTTCCCGGAAAAGAAAACGTGAAAGTTGATGAATATTCATTCACCTGCATACTTGTTTGAAGTTAAATCCACATCATTGGTAAAGAAAGATAAACTGTCGTTTTTTGTCATGGTTTCTATATGAGGAAAGTGGTGTTTGATGGTGTAATCGGATAAACTTCTAACAATATTGAAGTGTTCTTCGCCTCGTGAAGCGTGTATTTGGAAAGAGCCAAAACGAAGAAAAGATTGGGCCACACGACACACGATTGCACCAGGTTCATCTTTTGGATTCCCACTGCATTTAAAGAAATTAAATCTTATTTCAGATCAAAGTTTTGGAAGGTTGACTATAAAGCAGAAAGCAGAAATACATAGAAAAAGGAAGTGAGATTTTTTACTCATAAAACATGTCACGTCTCACGTATTTTCCAGTTGTAACAAGGCTAAGTGCACGAGTAGTTGGAATTCCAAGAAAATGCATTGCTTCACTACAAAGGAATTCACGAATGCTACTTCGTAACACTGCTAAACCATCTGCAAATCTGCTATATGGAGTCTTTCCTGCACCTTTTAATTGAAGTTCCCATCTTTGGGATTTGGAATTCAGAAGCTCACCAAGTGTAACTGCCCGACCATCACCCAACTGCCCTGCCCAAACCCTAAATTGATGCCCGCCATAACATTGGGCATAAGGCAACCCTCCTTTCAATGGAGATGCCCCCGAGAATATAAATGGAAAATCAGATCTTTCGAATCTGAAATAGGAATGAAAATGATGATATTGGCATTAGAAAGGTTGATAAATGAATTGAGATTTTAACATGTGAAAAGAAGTAAAGAACTCACTCTTTTGGATCTAAATCTAGGATTTCAGCAACTGAGTTTGACCATGCGACAAGCTGAGGGTTTTCTACTTCAGCAGATGGAGAGACTCTTGAGTAACAAGCGTGAAGCACCTGAAACAAAGTTCATTGGATTTTTGGAGTAATTTGCTTTGTATTAAGATAATTCAAATCCTGGAAGTGAGATATTATATAACAGGATTATCAGAAACAATGCTGCTCTGTTACATTACTCAAATTCAATTGCAGTTGGATTCATGAAATCAAGCCCTAATTGTATGTTATTACTTACAGACCTAGGAAGGAAAAGATTCGGTCACTATTTAGTTCTTTAAATTCCTGTAATGTTACGACATCTGAAAACTTAGATTCCAATGGCAAGTTGGCGACTTTACATGATAAAATGTAATCAAGCACGTAAATTCTTGAATTTGAGATCTAAAATTGAATAGAAGTTCACACGGATTTATATATCTCGATCATGCACGCAACAAACGAAAATCGAACAGTTTGGGGGAAATCGTTCTTTCACTTTTTTTATGGTCAAATTTTGAAATTTTACCTCGCGGGAGATGATATCGGTTCGTGGATCGCCAGGCAACTCCCGAACAAATGAATGATCCCAATTTAGATCTTCAAGCTTCAACTTAACCCTTGCGTCTTCGCTAGAACCCTGCTTCTCCACTCCATCGGTGACCGAATCAACCGACGCAACACTACCGGCAGCCGCCGGCGGTGAGTTCGTCGACATTTTAGACGAAATTAACGAAGTTTGAAGATGTGAGATAGCTGAGAGAGGAATCGATGGCGGCAGGCAGTGACGAAGGGGGTGGGGAGAGTATAAGTAAGCTTATGCTGCTTTGTTTACTGGTACAATTTTGTGACAAATTACAACTTTGCGTTGCTATGGCGGTTTCAGCAAAATGTGCTTTTTGTACTTGTAAAAGTACACGTGGTTCAAAAAAAAAAAAAAAAAAAAAAAAAAAAAAAAAAACTTGTAAAAGTACACGTTGTACATTGTGAAGTATATTTGTATATGGGATAAAATATAAATTAGAGATTCTCTTTCTTTTTATCTTTTTATTTTTTGGTTTACATGAAAACCATTATTCTTTAACACAAAAATAAGGTTTATACGCTTTTATTGGTTTTACTCTAAAGATTTTACTCTAAATTTGAGAAGCTTTTTCCAAATATGGCATTTAGCCCGTTACGAAGACAATTGTCGATAGCCCTTTGCTTTAGGTGGTTGGATTTTGATGATTACGATACCAAATAGGCAAACCATGTCATATATATCTCTTTAGTGAAATAGAGAATCGCAATCAAGATGCAATACTCTCCGGTAGGACTGTGTATAGTAGGACTGTGTATGGGTCGGTTTGGGTTGGTTTTCGACCCAAACCCAACCCAATCCGTAAATAGTCGGTTTCTGGTTTTCAGAACCCAATAGGATCAGTTTCTGATCGGTTTGGTTTCTTGGGTTCTGAGGTCGTTTTGGGCGGTTTTTCGGTTTCTTGGGTTCAACCCATACACTCACGGGTTCTGGGTTTAAACACATTTTTCATAAATGAAGCAAGAAGTTAAATACTTAAAAAAAAACATCAAATTGAAGTTAAATACTTCAAAAAATATGAGTCGTACAACCAAATAGTCTATTACAAGTTACAACCAAAACCCGATTAGTCTATTACAACCAAAACACAATCAAGTATGGATCGGTTTCGTGGGTTGGATGGTTCGGTTTCTTGGGGGGTTTGCCGGTTTTAAGTATGGGTCGGTTTTTTGGGTTTGATGGGTTGGTTTCTAGGTAAAAACCGAAACCGAACCCGATTTTTCGGTTTTTATAAAATTCAAACCCAAACTGTCGGTTTTGCTGCGGTTTCGGTTTTTCCACTTTCGGTTTCGTCGGTTTTAGTCGGGTTCTCGGGTTCTTGGTTTGGGTTTGCTCACCCTTAGTCTCCAGTCTTATGTTTCTTCAAAATGACATCTCTGTTAGTGATTTTAGTGTCACCAGACATTTTGTGTAACTGGAATTAATATGTGAGCTAAGGGATTTTTGTACTCTATATTATATGTTTGGTGAGTGCGAGCGCGGAGTGCATGCATATATAAGATCGAATTATAAGTCGGTACGACAAAATAGTGGGGGTCAAGGGGGTCGTGCCCCCTTGCAAGGTCTTAGGGGCAGAGCCCTTAACGGGGTCCAAGGGGCAGAGCCCCTAACGGTGGGCCCGTTGATCGGGGTCGCAAAAGATTTTGAAATTTTGAATTAGTTTCATAATGGAAAATCCGAATTATAATGGTGATAATGGTAAGATTGAGAAATTTTGTCTGTTTTAGAAACCATTAATTAAGCCATTAAATTTGTGATTCTCTTAACTAATTTGGAAGATAGAAACTCTAATCTGTCAAGAATAAATATGGCTCCTCTATTAAGCCATAAAAACTCTCTGTGAGGCTCTATCTTTCTTCTATAGCAAACTCAGAATTCGTCTGGCAATTTGGTTTGTGTTTCTGTGCCTATATTCACAAGTGTCCCTTGGGATTATCATAGACTGGATTTCATGTAACCTGGGCATAGGGTGGAAATATTAGTTCAGAAAGCAACCTTACACGATCCATTAGGTAGCCGGTTCTCCACTATTGCCCTTTCACGAATCCAACAACCTTCAACGAAAATCAGACTTCATTCTATCTTCAATATGCATAAATACAATGTGAAAATGTGGTATGTGATCAAGTTAAAGTAAGAGTCGAAGAGTATCAAAATTATCATGTCCTAATCTAACATGCCAAATATTTAAAGAATTGAGCAAGTAAGTAGAAGAGTCATTCATTCCATTGGCACTAGGTTGAATAATCATTACACACAGTTTGAACATACCCTATGCCTACATACATACCATTTTTTCTTAACATAAAATTATCTGACTCAAACACCAAGCAAAAAACATACTTATTCAACAACCACCCGGATACAAGATTCTTACAAATCTCTGGTACATACAACACATAAGTCAACGTCAACTCTTTTCCTGACATCTTCAATACAATCTCTCCAACACCTTGTATATCGAAAGTTTATGAATTTACCATGAATAGTTTATCACCATTTTCCAGAACTTTGAAGTTTTTGAACCATTCTCTATTCGATCAACCATGTCGGGTAGCTCTCGTATCAATCCACTAATTCCTCGGGTTAGACTCCATGAGGTTGACTTTAGAGATGACCATTGCAAGATCAATTTCAACCACATATTTGGTTATCTTCTTTATAACATTTGCCTCTTTTGCTTTGTGTCACTTCGAAAGCTTGTAATTTGCAGCCTGGCAACTAGGTCGGTCACAATGGTGGCAGTTACCTTGAAGCTTCTTTTTTAAAGTTCTACCTTTAGCTCCCAAACTGGCTTCCATTTATTTTGGAATTACCTTCCTAAACTTGTTCTTCATAGAAGCTTTACCATGCTTCGCCACATTAGCTTTTTTAGAGGTATGGTTATAGCTACTTTATCTTCCTCTTTAATCTGGAGGTAAACAATTAGGTCTTCAAGGGTCATTTTCTTTCGCTTATGTTTCAAGTAAATTTTGAAATCAATCCAATCGGTGTGATTCCCCTGTTTCCCAAATTATTATAAATAGAAGACCTCCTCTTTCCAAATTGTTATGCTTTTGAATACTTTGGAAGATCCAACTTGGAATATAAGTTTATTACAAAAATCAGAAGTTTAGAAGAGATTTAAGGTTGAAGAACATGAATGGAGTATCATTTAAAAGATATGGAAACATCATTTAATTATTCGGTTTGTTTAGACATCATGTGTAATGTCCCAAAATAAGACCCAAAAATTTTCATTTTTAATTTAATAAAATCGGTATTCTAAAACATCATCAATACAATCCGGATAAAATAAGTGTATCGAACATCAACTCAAATAAGAGTAAATCACAAAATACAGAACGAGGTGGTGTGTGCTCTGCAATCATCCCGAGCCCTTCCCCTTGGAACTAGAGGTACCTGAAACATAAACTGAAAATCATAAGAACAAAGCTTAGTGAGTTTCCCAAGATACCACATACCATACATATATAGCATATAACGGGCCCCACCTAATGAGTATATAACGGGCCTCGCCCTAACTCGAATAACGGGCCCCGCCCAATAAGCATAACGGGTCCCGCCCTAACTCGAATAATGGGCCCCACCCAATGAGTATAACTGGCCCCGCCCTAACTCGCATGACGGGCCACGCCCATATACAGTTCGTATAATCATAACAGGTAATAACAAACGGAATAACCATCAGACCCCGCCCAGTAAGCATACAACATATACACATACAAGTGTCACACAGACAATGAGTAAACTAACATAACAGGTCATGGGTCGGCATTGGTACCTTCGACCCGCTAAACACATTGAGGAAACTCACATCACACTGCTGAATCACACTGATAAATCCCTGGTTGCTGGTCCGACAAATCCCCGAGCTATCAATATCAAATAATACCCAATTAACAATTAGATTCCAATCCATAATCATCGGTCCATAATTAGAGTAAATGACCAATTTACCCCTTACCTAGTTTGGTCCAAGACTAAGGCCTAAACTCACAATCCAAAAGGCCCAAAACCAAATAATCATTCAAGGCCCAAACATGGCCCAATTTTTCCAAATTGGGCCTAAACGCTTACATGGGCCTTACCCCAAGGCCCACCAATTTTTCCTAGTCCAAACACTTGCATTAAGATGGCCCAACAAAACCCCAAACACCTAATCCCCAAAGAATAGCCCAAACTCAAAGCCCAAAGATTCGTTCTATGAGATTCGACAATACAAGGTGAGTTTCCTCATTGTGTTTAGCGGGTCAAAGGCACCAATGTCGGCCCATGGTTTGTTATGTAGGATGCTAGATGTATGTGTGACTCTTACATGTGTATGTGTTTGTATGTTTGTTGGGCGGGGCCTAATGGTTATTATGTATGCTAGTATCTGGTTATACGCATATGATGTGTATGTGGGTAGGGCTCGTTATGCGAGTTTGGGTGGGACATGTTATACTCGATGGGCGGGGCCAGATGGTTGTACGTCTATTATCTTTGTGATTTCTACATGTGTTTGTATGTCTATATGATTATATGTTTTATATGTTTACTGGTCGAGGCCCGATGACTGACAGATATGTATACCGAGCGGGGATCGATGTTGGGCGGGGTCCGATATCTGACAGATATGTATACCGAGCGGGGCTCTATACCGGGCGGGGCCCAATGACAGGGTGGGGCCTATTACGTGCTTATTTGTGTATGTATGGTTTGTGGTAGTTTAGGGAACTCACTAAGCTTTGTGCTTATGGTCTTCAGTTTATGTACTGTTTTCAAAAGGAAGAGCTTGGGATGATTGCAGGGCACACAACACTCGATTCCGCATTCTGTGATTTACTCTGATAATGATGATGTATTGATAAAAATTTGATTACCTTGGTTTTATGAAAATGATATGATTTAATGTCTTATTAATTTAAAATTTAAATTTTCGGGTCTTATTTTTGGGACGTTACAAGTTGGTATCGGAGCCTTGGTTTGAGGGATTCGAACATACTCTCGGGTGTGTCTGAACTCAAACTGAGGATGTGGTAAAGTTTTTCAAAAAGAAATGTATTTTTAAGTAAAGAGTTTTATAAGACAAGAAAGGGTGTGGTGCATGCAATCAGCCGAGCTCAAGTAAGTTTGTAACGCCTGGTTCCTGGTATGCATTTAACTTATTTATTTGTTCATTTTAAGAGATGACTGCATGGCACACACCACTGTTTTTAGCCTGGGAGGATTCACTCTGATTTATGATATATGATTTTGATACATTAACAGATATGATGATGTTTTTGAGATACATG